GAAGGGCGGCGCGGTAGCGAGTGTCACTAGTGCGGAGGTGCGTAATGAGGTCAGCGACAGTGGGAAAGGCAGAGAGGTCAGGAAAGAGGTAGGGAAGCATGAGACGGCTCAGTGCAGCAGTGGCAGGGGAGGAGTAGCGCGCAACTACAGCGTCGTACAAGGTCTGAGCACTCTTGTACTGACTAAAGTGCGCACGCTCAGAGGTAGGGAGGTGGCGACGCACAGCAAGACGTGCAGCAGCATCGCGGGCGGCCCACTGAGAGCGGACAGTGGGATCAGCATCAGCAGCAGGAGCAGGAGAGGCGCCAGAGGTGAGGTCAAAGAGAGAAAGACTGTCAGCCCTGTCGCACTGTAAGAACAGCTGCAGGTCGTCTAACCAGACCTCAAAATCAATGGCGCGACCCTCAGCGTCAAAAGCTAGGACACTAGGGGTAGCCATGGCGACGACAGCGACGCAGTGCAAGCAGTAGGGAAAGAGCTCGCAGTGACAGTGGGACTGTGCTCACCAGGCAGGGCAGGTCGTGCAGCTCTGCAGAAAGGCGGCTCGGCGACCGGGCGGCTCGGGTGCACAGCGGCTCGGTTCCCGGGCTGCTCGGCGGCTGGGCGGCTCGGGTGCAGGGCGGCTCGGCGGCAGGGCGGCTCGGGGGCAGGGCGGCTCGGCTCCCGGGGGGGCTCGGCGACAGGGCGGCTCGGCTGCTGCAGGTGGGGCGGCAGGGCCGCGTGAAAGAACCGGGGCGGGGCCGCGTCAGAGCCGGCGGCAGGGCCGCGTGAGAGCAGGGGCGGGGCCGCTTCAGAGCTGGCGGCAGGGCCGCAAGAGAGCCGGCGGCGGGGCCGCCGGAGAGCCGAGGCAGGGGCAGCGTCAGGGCCAGCGGCGGGGCCGTAAGAGAGCCGGGGCGGGGCCGCAAGAGAGCCGGCGTCGGGGCCGCAAGAGAGCCGGCGGCGGGGCCGCGTGAGAGCCGGGGCGGGGCCGCGTCAGGGCCGACGGCGAGGCCGCGAGAGAGCCGAGGCGGGGCCGCGATCAGGAGGCGGCGGCGGGGCCGCGTCAGAGCCGGCGGCGGGGCCTCGTCGAGGCGGGCGGCGGGGCCGCGTTGGAGCCGGCGGCGAGGCCGGCTAAGAGCCGGCAGCGGGGCCGCGTCAGGGCCAGCGGCGGGCCGCAATCAGCGGGCGGCGGGGCCGCGTCAGAGCCGGCGGCGGGGCCGCGTCAGAGCGGGCGGCGGGGCCGCGATCAGCGGGCGGCGGGGCCGCGTCAGAGGAGGCGGCGGAGCCGCTGCAGAGGAGGCGGCAGGGCCGCGTCAAGCAGGGGTGGCGGGGCCGCGTCAGAGGGACAGCGGGGCCGCGAGAGTAAGGCGACCCGAAGGGTCGCGAAAAAAAATGCGCGCCTCGGGGCGCGCTTCGGTGGGCCCTAAAAAAACGGTCCTTAGGAAGGACCCGCTCTATACCATGTGGAAGATAAGAAAACAGGAATAAAATGACTAACGAAAGATTGGGTACAAATACAACCCTAGAAACCCTGTACCCCATATGTGCTACCCCACTATAGCCTACAGCAACTATGTCATATAAATCTGACACACGCATCCCACGTGCTGTATTGGGCGGTTTCGCAGAATGAAATCCAGTTGACTGCTGGGCCCGCGGGCCCTTCCTCTTGCGACGGTGGCTCGTAGGCGCGTGGCGACGTCACGATGACTCGCCACCAGTCCATAGCGGGGCCCCTCAACAGCGAGACGGCGTATCGTATCTTCGCTGCGTCCGACTCGACGTAGTTCGCGTCAAAAAACACGTTCATCGTGAAGATCCATGACTGAACCGTCGGACCACCACGCTGGCTCGGGTCGAAACAGGGCGGGCGCTGCGGCTTGAGTGGCATCGGCGCCATGATTGCCTGGTCGCCACTTGTTGCCGCAAACTCCACGTGCCGACGGGCTTCACGAGGCTCCCGTGGGCTTGGTGCGGCCCGGTTTCCTCCCATACCAGGCATTGGCTGGGCGGCGCTGTCACTGGCTGCGCCTGAGCGCTGTCCCACGCTGTCGTGCTGTGTTGGTGTGCCGGACGAGATGACAATCGGTTCGTCTGACTGTGCAGGTGCATTTTGTGACGCTGGAGCATTCGCCGCACATTGCTGACGCGCGGAGTCACGTTCTGCCGTGAGCGTCGCAATCTCGAGTGCTGAATCTTCAACTTGACGGATCAGACGGTCAAGTTGCTCTTGCGTCAACGTCGCGAGCGTAAATTCAGCCATGGCGGGGGTGTCGGTCAAGCGCAGCGAGAGCCTCTGTCGTGGCCGTGCGTGCTTACGATAGAGCACTACGAGCGGCGGTGCTTGATCACTGAGAGACGTCTACCCCCCCCAAAAAATTGAGATAGTGGGGAAACGAAGGTGTGAATGCGGTCCGAGAAGAGATCGTAGGCTCTGAATACCAAGTGTTACGGGTACAATCGAGTGAACGAACGAAGATTGCACTATCGAAGCAAGAGTACAATGAGCGAAGGCATGAGCGAAGGATTATATAGCGAAAATATAGTGGCAACGGTAATGGACTGTGGTTGTCGCGCGACGGGCCTGGGACAGAGGTTGGGAAAAGTGTCGAGGCGGAGGTCCGGAGCGCGGGTTACCGCCGAGCCGTGAGGTCGGGGTGCGACATGCGGGCGGATTATTGATGCGAGTGGTAACGGTGCTGACTGAGGTGCTACAGTGATATACGCGTTGAGCGGGGATGCGAAGTAAGGAAAAGGAATTTTCCTTACAATATACTTTACTTCTGAACAAAAATTCTTGAGTTGCTGTTCTCCTTAAATCTTGCAGCTGCATGACCTATATGAGGGATGCGGAATTCGCCAACAAGTTCGCCAAACGCTCGATCTCTCGCCAGCTTCTCTACCCCCCACCTCAAATTTTCATGTTTTCTCCAGCTTGCGTTGTCAGTAACAATTCCCAGAGCACAAGTTTCGCGCCCACCGTTCCCAGTTGTTGCTCTCTTGTTTTTCCACCGCCTTTTCTACCCAATTAGAAAGTACAACTGGCGCACCTCGATGAGATTGGTGGTGTGAAATGGGATAAACGTCATGCATTTCATGAACACGTCACACTCATGTGACCAGCTTCGGAGTTGGTTTCTTCACGTGGGTCTGCGAACTATCTACCGTTCGAAAAAGCCCACGTAGGCAAATCGGAAACTCCCTAGGCGGATTTTTTCAATGAAGTGAGGATTCTGTATGACGTGGTGCAAGGCGAACCTTTCCTTTCATTTCTTTCCCTGGTTGTAGAATATTCCATGCTGGCACTCTTTGGGACCACCGTAGAGACCAGCAAGGCATTTTTTTTACCGTTGAAGGTCATTTCGATTTTACCGCGACGTAACATTTCGACCACACATGACGTCAGCGACTCAAGTTCCAGGGAAATTATACTGCGTAGGGCTCTTTCGTGGCATTTTGCCTCTCAGCATCCTCATTTCGCGACCCTCATTTCCCGACCCTCATTTCGCGAAGGACCCTTCGATCATTCTACCAGTTTTGCTACGTCATCGTTCTCGCTCCGCACATTTCTAACATTTCTATTTCTCCAAGGACAATTCCGGTTCGCTGAATCCACGTCCACGCCACCAATTTACTCCTCCAAGGCCTGATTCTCCACTTCTTCCATCCTTTCTCCGCTGTACGGCTTCGTTTACCTCGGGAGTTCCGCCATCCGCCATTCGCCTCGCCATTCACCGATTTGCTGACCGCAGTTCTCAATTTCATTCCCGAGGTGAGCTCCCAAGGGCCTAGTTAAAATTTCTTTCGTCAATTGATTTTCGATTGGCTACTGCGGTGCAATCATCCAGAAATTAACATTTCGTGGTGATTTGTGTGCAGGCACGAGTCTCTGCACCAATGTGTACAACGCTGCCTGCAGCAACATCAGGACGCTGGCTACATTAACATCAGGACGCTGGCTGAAGCAACAACTGCTGTTGCACACCTCCTTCTCCTGCTCCAACCACCGTTATTCCAAGTATGTTCCAGATTTTGTTTTGTTGCCGTTTCAGCCTCAGTTTCGCCTTTTTCCTGTTCTTGTACTGAGCTTCTTTTCTGTGCTCTTTTTCAGGAGTCAGCACCACCCATCATACTGAGAAGTGACCAGCCACGACCATCCCAATGAGGAAGCCTGGCCACCCAGGCCAGCTCATGCCGAATTCAAGGGGTGCAAGTGAACGGACTACACGGGAGCCACGATTTAACAACTAATTGCAACAGTGAAGGTTGAATTGAAGGCTGGCGGCGTGGGTGCAAAGCTGCAGAGGAGCAGAGGAGCAAAGGCGCAGCCTCCAACTTATAGAAGGTTGAAAGTATCATTTGCGCCCTCCACACTCCACATGAGCCCCCCCCCTGGTGAAGGTCAAGGTTCAGGTACCCCTTCAGGTGTTTTTTTTTTACCTGGCTCGTGTGGTGCTGTGGTCGTGCATCTGTCCTTCATTCGCATCTTCTTTCCGTTGGATTGTTGCCTGCCGCCATGTACTCACTGACTTCTCTCCTCGCTTCCCTGGCACGTTTGAATGACCGCTGGAACGCCAAGGCCCTTCTGCTCACAAGGCTGGCGGCGTGGGCGCAAGCTGCAGAGGAGCAGAGGAGCAAAGGAGCAGAGGAGGGCCCATCGCTAGCACCAACACTCAAGGCAGCACCAAGGCGCGAGGCACCTTCAAGGCCCCTCTGCACTGCTGCAAGCTCCAAGGCCTGCAGCATCGCCTGTTGAGGCGCCTCACTCGCCCCACATACAGATACGTCTCCTCGGCTTTATTCTCTCTCTGCCTGTTTCTCTCCACATGCATGTCTGTCATTCGCCATCCCCATCCGCAAGCATCGCTTGCTTGCGTGCATGCGAGCCACCTCTCCTCAGAGCCTCCTCCCCTTCGGTCAAGGTACATGTATGATATGGTTGGTTCAGATTAAGGTTGGTATGAGGTACAAGTTTTGGTACTTGGCTCCTGTGGAGGGCGTGGCGAGCACTGCACTGCACCATGCCACATCTCACAGCATCCCATGTAATGCTCACAGCATCCCCACCACAGATGCATGCTCTGACAGGCAGTTTGGTGAATGACTCTCTCTCTGCTTGCTCTCTGTCGTGCTTCTTCTCCCCTGCCTGCCAGGAGCCCATCTTGCAGCGACAGCTCCTCCTGGGCGCCCCTGCTCGCCCATGTGGCAGCGGCAGCTCCTGTGGACGGCTGGCGAGGGGTGAAGGCGCCTCATGGTCCAGCTGGAGGGGCTGCTGTGCTGCGGCGCACATGAGCAGCTCCCAATTGAAGGCTCAAGCTTGCAAGTATCCACCTCCACACACCACAACAGCCCCCCCTCCCCCCACTTCGGTAAAGGTTGAGGTTGAGGCACGGTAAAGGTTGAGGTACGGTAAAGGTTGAGGCACGGTAAAGGTTGAGGCACGGTAAAGGTTGAGGTACGGTAAAGGTTGAGGCACGGTAAAGGTTGAGGCACGGAAAAGGTTGAGGTACGGTAAAGGTTGAGGCACGGTAAAGGTTGAGGTACGGTAAAGGTTGAGGCACGGTAAAGGTTGAGGTACGGTAAAGGTTGTGGTGCACCTTGCATGCTCACCACTCACTCCCCACACCACTCTTGCACAGCTCTCACTTCGTTTTCCTTACAGCCATGGTTTCCTTGCACTCACTCTCTTTCTTTCTCTGCCTCTCCTTCGCTGGCAGGTGTTGTTTTGGTTTGGAGGCCCCTCGCTAGCCAACACTCAAGGCATCACCAAGGCGCAAGGCACCACCGAGGCCCCTCTGCACGCCTGCAAGCGAGCGCCCGGGCCTGCAGCGCCCGTGCACGCGCCATCAACAGATAAGCTCACCGCCCTTGGGTTCTCATCTGCTCCCTGTCTGCTTTTGCAACCCCTACCGCCATGCTGCCTGCCTTGCCATTTCCTCGCCCCCCCACCTGCTGCCGTGTCAGCCGTCCCTCCATGGAGCCTCTCCCCCAAGTTTAGGTCAGGTGCTGGTTCAGGTGTAGGTCAGGTTGGGGTTCAGGTGAAGGTTCAGGTGAGGATGCGAGGTGGACTTTCGAGGTGTGGTACTTGGCTTCTATGGAGGGCGTGGTTGGCATGGCACAGCAGCATACCCAATCTCATGCCATCCCATGCTCACGCTCACCATCACCCATTCTCCCTTGTGTCATCGATAGCGGCCCTTCACTCCCTCCTGCTCACTTCCCTCTTTCCTCCCTTCTACCCTTCTTTTTCCCCCCCTGACTGCCAGGCACTCTGCTTCAAGCCTGTTCAAGGTGCAACAGCAAGGTGAAGAAGCAAGGCGCAGCATCAAGGGGCAGCAAGGCACAGCAGCAAGGGGCAGCAACGCACCTTCAACGCTCCGCACAAAGATAAGCCCTCTCCCCTTGGTTTCATACCCGCTCCTTTTCTCTTTCAGCTCAAGCTCATGTTCCCTGCGCTGTCATCCCCCCATCCGCCCTCCCCCTGGCTCTCATGCCAACCACCCCTCCACAGAGACTTCCCTCTTGGTGAGGTTCAGGTTTCTTTTCAGGTTAAGGTTCAGGTTATGGTTCAGGTGAATGGTAAAGGTTTGGTACTTGGCTCCTGTGGAGAGAGCGTTGGCCGCAGCACCATGTCTCACTTTCCCTTCACATGCACCCACTGCATATGCATGCATTCCGTCCCTTGTGTCCTCCATACCTTCCCTTCACTCATTCCCGCTCCCTTCCCTCTTCCTTCCCTCCGTCCTCACCCTATCCCTCCCTGACTGCCAGGCTTGCTGCTCCAAGCCTCTACTGGAGTGCAAGGCGCAGCAGGAAGGCCCACGAGCATGGCACAGGAGGAAGGCGCACGAGCATGGCACAGGAGGAAGGCCCACCAGCATGGCACAGGAGGAAGGCCCACGAGCATGGCACAGGAGGAAGGCCCACGAGCATGGCACAGGAGGAAGGCGCAGGACTAAGGCCTAGCAAAGCACCATCAACGCTTTACACAAAGATAAGCCCTCACCCGTGGTTTCTTTCTTACCCACTCCGTTCCTGTTGCACATGAAAAGCTCTCCAGCCCACATCTCGACATGCACTGCAATGTCATGCATACCCCCCATCCGCCTTCCTGCTTGCTGTCATGCCAACCACCCCTCCACAGAGCCTCTCCCCTCGGTGAAGGTCCAGGTTTTTCTTTTCAGGTAAAGGTCCAGGTAAAAGATAACGGTTTGGTACTTGGCTCCTGTGGAGGGCATGGAGGGTACAGCACCATTCTTCATGTGACCGTGTCATGACTCACTGCACATTCACGCTTCCCCCTTTCCAGTATCCTCCATAGCTTCCCTATACTCACTCACGTTTCCTCCCCTCTTCCCTCCCCTCTTCCCTCCCCCCGCCCTCACCTTACCCCCGACTGTCAGGCTCACTGCTCCAAGCCTCTACAGGAGTCCAACGCGCAAGCACAGCAAGGCTAAGCAAAGCACCCTCGACGCCCACACAAAGATAAGTCCACAACCCTGGTTTCATACCCGCTCCGTTTCTGTTTCAGCTCAATCTCTTCTTTGAGCCCACATCCCAACATTCGCTGCACTGCCATACCCTCCTTGCGCGTTCCTCCTTGCTGTCATGTCAACCACCCCTCCACAGAGCCTCCCCCATTGGTAGTTTCAGGTTTTTTTCCAGGTTGAGGTTCAGGTGCAAGGTTCAGGTTATGGTTCAGGTTTTGGTACTTGGCTCCTGTGGAGGGCGCTGCACCATGCCGCCTGTCATGCCATCCCATGCTCTCACCATCACCCACCGCACATGCACACATCCCGCTGCCTGTGTCCTCCCTTTAATCACTTCCGCTCCCTCCCTTCTTCCCTCCACTCGGCCTCCTTTATCCCCCCCTGTCCTAAGTTGCAATAAACGCTCAGGCCTGTTTGCGTTTAGCGGATATCCGCTTGCATATACACGCAACACGCTATACGCAAGCGAATCCGCTATACGCTCGGCAAATTTGTTTTGGGGCTGCCCGTGCGGAAAAAAAATCGAACATACGGAAAGATGCGGAATTTCACGACGTGCGTTTTGCCTAAAGCGAATTGCACGAATGTGACTTGTCCAATTGTGGATGTGGCTTTTTGCAGAACGCGAATTGCACATACGTGAATTGTCCAATCGTGGACGTGGGTTCAACCCACGTAGTCGAGATTGGTTGTGTCAATTTGTCAAGTCGCGTTTTCATGTACACACTTTGTGCGCTCTGTTTGTTACCGCATTGAATCCCCTCCCATCTACTCACTCCAACCAAATGTCCCAATGTTCCCTTCTCTCGTTGTGCTACTTAGTGGGTTGCAAGCAACTACGCAATTCATCAGTTCCCCGTCTCTTTCGTAATGTCTAGCCCGCCATGCACACCGCCATCCGTTCAGACAGTGCAGAGTTCTCGGATTGTTCGACCTGAGGGTAGGGATTACCTTCCTGACATGCCGGAACACGCTGTCTTCAAACATTTCAGCCTCATTGTGCGGGAAGAAGGCAAAGCACAGCAGTACGAGTGTAAGTACTGCTTCAATGTTTTCACCGGTGCAGCCATTCGTTGCGCGCAGCACCTGAGCTCGTGGAAGGGAATGAAGCGTCGCGAGGTGACGCTTTGCAAGGAGGCACCGCAAGACGTACGCAACGAGATGCGCACCAAATACGAAAAGATGGCTGCCGCGATCGAGGAAAAGCGCCGAGCAACATCTGCTGCAGTTGCGGCAGTACAGGCTGGCGGAGGGAAGCGGCGCATAACCGACTACTTGGAGGAAGATGCCGCTGCGGCTAAGCGGGATGCTCACGAGGGCCTTGCGCTGATGTTTGCGGCCCGCACAATCCCGGAGGTCACCATGGACCACCCGCTGTTCATCAACGCCATGCTGCTCGTCAACCGCGCCGGCAACGGCTACGTCCCCCCCAAGGAGGACTTTCATTGGCGGGGCTGGACTGGTCGCTGTCCGCAAAGGGATTGAGCAGGGGCTGGTGGGGATTAAATCGAGCTGGAAGAAGACGGGGGTAACAATTGCGTCCGACATGATGACGGACAAATGTGGGAGGGCGCAAGCGAACGTGCTTCTGATCAACGACTCCAGCGCCGTCTTCAGGGAGGCGATCGACTGCGGTATGGAGCGGAAGACGGGGGGATACATAGCGGGGATTCTGCAGCCGGTGGTGGAGGAGGTAGGACCAGAAAATTTCGTCGCGTTTTGTATGGATGGGGGGTCGAACTATGCCGTGGCTGTCCAGGAGCTGATTGCCAAGTGGCCCCACATTTAGCAGGTCCCTTGTGCCACGCATGTGATGGATCTCCTCCTGGAGGACGTGGGAAAGATGGGGTGGGCAAAAGGGGTGGTGGATCGGACTGGGGAGATGAGTTCGTTCGTTCGCAACCATCATTGGACGCGCGCTTACCTGAGGACCAAGGAGTTGGTGGAGGGGAAGGTGCTGCAGCTGCTGAAGCCAGCGGGAACACGGTTCGGGACACAATACATTGCTGTGTCCCGCCTTTGTCAGTTGCGTAGCACCCTCAACGCGATGGTGCTTTCCGACAGGTGGAAGGAGTGGGCCTCGGGGTCGCAGAAGGAAACTGCCGAGACCTTTGCTGCACGGGTCCTCGATGACGCATGGTGGCGGACGGCAAAATTCTTCTGCAAGCTGATGCAACTGCCCTACAAGGCGATGCGGCAGACTGACGCAGATGCCAATGGGATGATGGGCCGGCTCTACGATGTAATGCTGCAGCTTACCGAGGATGTCAACAACATCCTGGACGAGGATGAGCAGCAGCTGAGTAGCGCGGACAAGGAAAAGATCCGCAGCATCATCAAGGACCGCTGGGATAACAACCTCGCCTGCGCCATGCACGTTGCTGGCCGAATCCTCAACCCCGCCAACCAGGAGGAGGATATCTTTGGCAGCGACGCCGAATGCACCAGGGTTATCAAGGCGTTAATCAACCAGCACGTGGAGTTCCTCATCGGCCACGACGGGAAGGGGAGGGATGAGGGTCCAGATTACTTGCTTGCCTTGGGTGACGGGCTGAGGGCTTTCTTGGACATGAAAGGCAGTTTTGGGATGCCGGAGGCGCTTGCACAGAGGGAGATGGTGAAGGCGGGTAAGTACAGCATGGTGAAGTGGTGGCAGTGGAACGGCACAGATGCACCTCACCTGATGCGCTTCGCCGTGAGGGTGCTATCTCAGCCTATATCGGCATCCCCTTGTGAGCGTGGGTGGGGAACTTGGGATGCAGTCCACACAGCCCGCCGGAACCGCCTTGGATCTGCAAAGTGCCAGGACCTGGTTTTTGTTGCGCACAACTGGAATGTTGTGCGCAACTGGCACTCGCGCGCAGATGTAATGCCGAACGTTGTGCCAGGGATTGGGGACGAGCCTCCTATCCCCAAGGGGTACAACGGGTTGGATGAGACGGAGGTGGAGGAGGAGGAAGGCGAGGATGACGTCCTGGAGGACGAGTACGCTTAGAACTAGGGTGGCAGGAGAGTATTAGTGACATGTGTGTGTGTATGGTGTCGTAATATTATTATGGGAAAAAAAAAACTGTGTTGCAAAACCCCCAAAATGCCTCACCCCTCCCCCACCCCCAAACATCCCCAAGTGGTTTTTTTGCCCTGCCCGGGAAAGTTTTTTCCCTGCCCGGAAAAGCGTATTCCAAAGTCGACCCCCAAGCGGATAGCGTGCATACGCTAGCGTATATACGATAAGCGTATATACGCTATAAGCGTATATTGCAACTTAGCCCCTGTCTGCCAGGCTCTCTGCTCAAAGCCTGACGTGCAGAAAGGGGCAGTAACAAGGTGCAGCAGCAAGGGGCAGCAAGGCAGCCTCAACGCTTCACACAAAGATAAGCTCACGACCTCCTGCACAACAATGGTTTCTAGTCCACCTCCTCCTGCGCCTCCCTCCACTCGCTGTCATGCCAAGCACCCCTCCACAGAGCCTTCCCCCTTGGTTAAGGTACTAGGTCTTTCTTTGGGTTTAGGTTCAATTCAGGTTATGGTTCAGGTGAAAGGTGAAGGTTTGGTACTTGGCTCCTGTGGAGGGAGTGTTGTCACTGCATCATGCAGCATCTCATGCCATCCCATGCTCTCACCATCATCCAGAGCACATGCACGCAATCCCTTGTGCCCTCCATAGCCTCCCTTCACTCAATCTTGGACGCTTTCCTTGTCCCTCTCGTCCACCCCTTCCCTGCCTTCCCCTGCCTGCCAAACTCTCTGCTTCAACCCTCCCCTGTCTCAGCAGCAAAGCGCAGGAGCAAGGGGCAGCAGCAAGGCGCAGCAGCTGCAAAGTGCAGAAGCAAGGGGCAGTTAAGCAACCCTCTCAACGCTCCACACTAAGATAAGTCACACCCTTGGTTACAACATGGGCAGTTTCTGTTTCAGCTCAAGCAGTTGTTTGAACACCACTTTTCCCTGCTCTGTCATCCCCCCATCCGCCTTTGTCCGCACTGTCATGCCAACCACCCCTCCACAGAGCCTCCCCCCTGTCAGTTTTTTTGTTTGGTATAGAGGTTCAGGTGATGGTTCAGGTTTGAAAGTGAAGGTTTGGTACTTGGCTCCTGTGGAGGGTTGGCATCCCATCTCATGCCATCCCATGCTCTCACCATCACCCAACCACCATCTCATGCATTCCACCACATGTGTCCTACATACCTTCCCTTCACTCATTCCCGCTCCTCCCCTCTTCCGTCCCCCTGTCCTCCGCATATCCCCCCCTTGACTGTCAGGCTCTCTGCTCCAACCCTCTTCTACGTAGTCTCAGCAGCAAGGGACTGCAACAAGGGGCAGCAAGGCACCCTCAACGCTCCACACAAAGATAAGCCCACACCCTTGGTTTCATACCCGCTCCATTCCTGTTTCAGCTCAAGCCCACATCCCACAACATTCCCTGCACTGCCATACCCCCCCATGTGCATTCCTCCTTGCTGTCATGCCAACCACCCCTCCACAGAGCCTCCCCCCCTTGGTAGAGGTACAGGTTATGGTTCAGGTGGAAGGTACAGGTTATGGTTCAGGTGGAAGGTACAGGTTTTGGTTCAGGTTTTGGTACTTGGCTCCTCTGGAGGGCGCTGCACCGTGCACCATCTCATGCCATCCCATGCTCTCACCATCACCCACTGCACATGCACGCATTTCCCCCCCTTGTGCCCTCCGTAGCTTCCCTTCACTCATTCCCAACCCCTCCCCTCTTCCGTCTCCCCATCCTCACCCTATCCCCCCCTGTCTGCCCGGCTCGAAGCCTCTCGTGTAGCAAGGGGCAGCAGAAAGGTGCAGCAGCAAGGCACCCCCGACGCTCCACACAGAGATAAGCTCTCAGCCCTTTGGTTTCTAGTCCGCTCAGTCTCTCTTTCAGTTCAATCTCTTGTTTCAGCCCTCCAGCCCACACATCCCAACGTCCCCTGCACTGCCGCCTTCCTCCTTGCGTCATGCCAACCACCCTTCCACAGAGCCTCCCCCCTTGGTGAAATGTTCAGGTTCCGGTTAGGTTAAGGTTCAGGTTATGGTTCAGGTGAAAGGTGAAGGTTTGGTACTTGGCTCTTGTGGAGGGAGTGTTGTCGCTGCACCATGTCTCACATCACATGCCATCCCATGCCATCCCATGCCATCCCATGCTCCCACCGTGATTCACCCTCCACCAACACTCCACCTGAATCCTCTTCCTGAGCTCACTCCCTTCTCCTCCCGCCCTTGCCTGCTTGCCTGGCAGGTGGAAGGCGTCAACACCGATCCTCCCCCACGCCCCTCCCCAGTAGCCGTGCAGAGGGGATAGGATGGGAGGCAGCACTGCAGCAGACTCAAATTGCTGCCACGAGGGAGAGTATGGGGTTGGGCTTGGCCTCTCAAGGTGCGTCAGCTCTCCTCCTTGGCCTCATCCCTCCTCCCTCTAGTTCTCTAACTGCTGCAGCTGTCTCTTTGTTTTTTCCATTCTCGTTTCTGTCAGCTTGAGTCTGCTCCTTGTTTCTGCCAACTCACCTGTTCCTCCTCCTGCCCTTCCTCTCCTGTCCCCCCTCTCCATTTTCTATGCCCGCTACCAGGTCACTTGGCATCGAGCGAAGACCGTAGCAGGAAGCTGAGTAGCAGACCGGCAGCAGCATTTGCTGCAGCAGCAGCAGCAGCAGCAGTGGGGGGTGGGGGGCTAGGCTAGGCTAGGTCAAGGTGTGGGGAGGTGTGGTAAAAGGTGTGGTATGGTACCAGGTGAGATATGGTGATCTGATCCCCCCCCTCTCTCTCCCCCGTTTCTTCCCCGCAGCCTGAGATTGGGAGCACTGGAGCAAGGGCGGAGAGTGGAGTCCACCCTCTCACTCACCTTTTCCCTTCCCTCCCATCAGCACCCTGCCTGGAGAACAGTGGAGCCCTGCCCTCTGGTAATCCCCCACCCTCACCTCCCCACTTCCCAGCAGCCTCAGGCATCATGGCGCCCTGCTCGGCTGTGGTAAGTAGAGGTAAGGAGGCATGGGGTGAAGGGAGGTGGGTGTGGGAGGTGGTGGTGGGAAGCATGGGAGCGAGTGGGCAGTTCACTTCTTTAGGGGCAGCATCCCTTGGAATTGTGGCTTGTGAATCGGGGTGTGGTTGGTGGAATTTGTGCGGCACGGGACTCGGTGCTCAGGGTTCCAATCTGGCGTTTAAGGCTTAATGGACACTGTCAGAGCCGACCGGCCGGCGGCTCTGGTTCGCGTCAGCTCTGGCCACGTCAGGGGTGGGATTTGAGTCTTGGGCTCTGTTCACTGCCACACCTCGCCTTGCAAGTCACATCCCTTGAGGGTGTTGTTTCTGAAGGGGAGTGGGCTATCTGCTGCGCCTACTGCTGGCAGGTAAAGGTGGAAAAGGGCAAGGGGTGGTGGGGGGTTATCTTGGTGGAGTGTGGCATGATTCCGTATGGTATGGCACAGTGTGGTATGATCTGGTCTGGTATGACATAGTGTGGTATGATACAGTGTGTGTGGTAAGATACAGCGTGTGTGGTATGTTACACTGTGGATATGTGTGTAGTATGGTACAGAGTGGTCTGATATAGTTTGGTATGATGTACTGTGGTGTGATATGATACAGAGTGGTATGATAGAGTGCACTATGATACAGTGTGGTATGAGGTATGATCCAGAATGGTGTGGTGTCGTGCAGTTTGATACGGTTTGAATCAGTGTGGGATGATAATTTGTGGTATGATAGAGTGCGGTATGATACAGAGTGGTCTGGTATTGTGTATTAGAATACGGTATGATTTTGTGTGGTATGATTCATTGTGGTATAATAGAGTGTGGTATGATATAATGTGCTCCAATACAGTGTGGTATGATACTGTGTGGTATGACACTGTGTGGTTTGATAGTGTGGTATGAAATAGTGTGTTATACTATAGTGTGGTATGGATGATACCATGTGGTATGATACAGAATGGTCTGAAATCGTGTAGTTTGATACGGTATGAAGCAGTGTGGAATGATTCAGTGTTGTATAAATTAGTGTGGTATGATACAGTGGTAAGAAACAGTGCAGTACAATACAGTGTGGTATGATACGGTGTGGTATGATTCAGTGTGATATGATACAGTGTGGTATGATTCATTGTGGTATGATTCAGTGTGGTATGATAGTGTGCAGTACGATACAATGGCATGAAACAGTGTGGTACAATTCAATGTGGTATGATGCTTTGTTGTATGTAACAGTATGGTGTGATGCAGTGTAGTATGATACAATGTGGTATGATAGAGTGTATTATGATTTAGTCTGGTAAGATTCAGTGTTGTGTGAAACTGTGTGATGTAGTGTGCCATGGCATGTCATGGTGTGGCGAGGCATGGTGTGGGCATGTCATTTATGGCGTGTCATGGTGTGACATCGCGTGGTATGGCATGTCATTTTTTGGCATGGCATCCTGTAGGCATGGCATTGCATCGCATAGCATCGTGTGGGCATGGCATCATGTGGCATGTCATCGTGTGGCATGGGATGGTGTGGCATGGCATTACGTGGGCATGGCATTGCGTGGCATGGCATGGTATGTGCGTGTCATGTGTGGCATGCCATCATGTGGCATGGCATGCTATTTGCAGGCTGGCAGCAGCTGGAGGGAAGTGGGGAACGATGGAAGGCAAGGAGGAAGACAGCATGGGAGGGAGGAGGGAGGAGGGGTGGAGGAGGGGGGGTGTGTGGAATGGAATGTGGCAAGCATGACTGCCACGCCTGCCATGCCCTTTCAATGCACTGCACTGCATGCGATGTTGTCTTGTAGTCTAGTCTGTTTCTGGAAGCTGTAGTGGTTGTACCGTTAGCAACGGTTGCCTTAACAAATAACATGTGAAGAAAGTCTGTGCTGTATATTGTACTCAATTGCACCTACAGCACACCCTAAATGTTGAGGTATAAGGTGGGTCAAGCTATTGCATTGAAATTACAGGGTGTATTGAGACATCATGTGGACCTGTGTGTACCCCTATCACACACAAATTGAGTGAACTA